ATGAAAATTAAAAGAAATAAAATAAATAGCTAATCAGGTGGAATTCAATATAATGAAGGGCCAGGATTGGGTTTTCACCATAACTTCGATGCTCAATGATGAATTATTTCAGTTCTTGGTGTCGATTTAAACTAGAAAGGTCTAAAGATCGTGCCTAATTAATCTTAATTAACCTACTTTCGTGGAATCAAGATTAAATTAAACACATTAAGCTTTATGCTAATCCAAATCAAGTCCCCAAGGAATCTAGCCTACTTTCATGGTTCGAAAGCCCTGCTTAATTTCTAGAGGCCCGGTATTAATCTTCATCTTTCAGTCCTTCAATTAATTACCTATGATTGGTAATACGGTGATCAAGCGAATCAACAAAATTAAAACACAAGAAACTAAGTTTAAAGATTTAAACTTTCACTAAGAATCTATATTAATTCATCATCAATCACCAAAAAGTTGGGTTCTTTCCCAATTCTAGACAAGAAATCTACTCACACATGATTGGGATAAGAGAATACATCAAATAATTATGCAAATCAATCACTCACACATGATTGGGATAAGAGAATACATCAAATAATTATGCAAATCAATCATAAGAAGAAATAAATTAAAGAGAGGAAAGAATAGAGAATACATCAAATAATTATGCAAATCAATCATAAGAAGAAATAAATTAAAGAGAGGAAAGAATTCACACGTCTTTCAATTGAAATCATCAAAATAAGAACTTGCAATCCAATCTTGTACAAGAAATTAGTGTCTTCCTTCAATACTTAAACTCTAAAATAGTTGTTAATTGACGGCTAAGAGAACATAATAAAAGATCTCCAAACCCTAAGCTAAAATATCTATTTATATATCCCCAAAAAATCTGAAAAAAGATAAGGCCCGCGCCATGGGTGTGGTGCGCACCACACCAGGGTGAGGTGGAATATGTTTTGCTGATTTTATGCTTGTTTGTCTAGTTTTCAATATTTTGGCTATAACTTTTGCGTCCAACCTCAGAATAAGGTGATTCAAGTTGCATTGGAAAGCTATTTAAGAGATCTATAACTTTTATCTTTTGAGCTTTTCCGGATTCAGATTGTATCATGGTCGAAATTCCAGTTTTTCATACTCATGCATCCATTTTTTCTCAAACCATGCATTCGAAATCTTGTTCAACTTCCAACGATCATCGAATCTTTCAATCTTGAGCCAATACCTACATATAAGAACACAAATAATAGCAATATCCTCGATCTAAACACGAAATATGCATTAAACATCCGTAAATCATGCTTGAAACACACTAAGATAATACATATTTTACGTGTTTATCACCTCCATACTTTGTGCAATCTTGGTGGCTTCTTTTCCAATTGTTCTTTCTGTAATTTTTTGGCTTCTTACACAAGGATTCTCACGTGCGCAAGCAATGCACGGGTCCTCCTGACGCGGACCCATTCATTCGTCACTGGTTTTGAAGAGGAACCGTCCGCTCGCTGTGGTAGCGCTTGGCATCTTCTGGATTTCAGATCCGTCTCATAGCGGATCTTATCAAGTGGCTCCAAAGCTTTGGCCAGCTGGCGCGCAAGACGTTGGCGTCGCCTTTGGCGTGCTCTCTTTGATAGGGTTAGCGCGCCTTCAGCGAATAACTCCTTGATTGAGGAGGAGTCCAGATCTGCAGATCCGGTCTCGTTAGACGCTGGAGAAGCATTACGATGTGTAACTGTAGCGGCAGCGACGCGGAGATCATCTTCTTGGGTCTTCAAATTTGAAGACCAGCGGACCTTCCTGGATTTGCGAGGAGAGGCGGATCTGGAGGAGGAGGACAAGTACTCCTCGAACTTCTGCTGGTCGAACTCATATTCAACGTCTTCTTCAACCGGGATGCGAATCCGAGGTTGCGACACATAAGCCTTCGCAAAAAGGCTGTCGGCTCCCACTGTGGTCGCCAGCGTGTTTGGGTCAGAAATTATTTTCTTCATTGTGATTGAATCTATTACAACTTCAGGTGTTACAAAAAACTCAACAAAAATTTAGTCTTTTTATAAGACTTTTTATCAGAGCTCCTACTTCACCAAGGAAGTATTCGCTAAAGTATTGATATCGATCAAGCGAAATCAGTACTCTTTTCGAGATTAAGACCAAGCCTAATCTCAAGGAATGGGGGGACGGGGCTTCAGATCTCTCGAACTCTCCCTCTTTATGCTGAAGAACTTCGCCGAGATCAGCTAGTCTCCTATGAAATTCATGCTCCCTTACTCTCCAACTCGGCAGCACCTCCTCGTCTTGATTCGCCCCTTCTGAAAGGAAGCCCTAGGCTTGTATTTATAAGGCTCCGGATGTGGGGTATTTGGATAATAATGGGAGATTTGACCTTATCTTCAGTCAATAACCACCTACCCACGTTTAGATATGATATCAAGTCAGATGGGAACCTTTGGAACAGAAGAAACCGATCGAAACAGCCTGAAAACGCGTTTTGGACGTTACGGGCATTTCTGGGCTCGCGGCAGGTTCTGCTGTCCCGGCCTGGGCGCGGGACAGCTCGTGCTGACCCGGCATGGGTCTTGTTCCATCGTTTTGCGTACTTCGTCATTTTGTTGAGTGATACGTTTGGCCAATTTGCTTTATGCGCTCGTTTACGATTCGGATAATCCTCTCCGACTTAGATTATGACGTTCATCGCCTTCTCTTTGTCTAGAGCTATGTGCGGATACCTACAGGCATTTTTAGACGCCTACAAAGCCTAAGGAGAGTTGTAAATCTGAGCACTTGAGGGAGAAACGGGCTAGAGACCAACACTTAGTGGGTGTAGAGTGTGATTACAAGATTGTTGATTGTAAAGTTTTCAGTGAGCTAGAAAACCGAGTGTGAGGTGTAAACGTTTTCGAGTGAGCGTCGAAAACCCGGTGTGATAGTGGATTTCTCCCCGGGAGTGGGGAGCGGAGACGTATGACGGAAGGTCTCAACTCCGTGATCATATTGCTTGTTTGAGTTTGCATTAGCGCACTCTTTTTGTTTATCTTATTTAGCCATTGCATATTTGTTTATTTTGTCCACTATTTTGTTTACCCTTGTTTATATTACTTATCCTTGCATATATATCTTGTTGCATATCATATTTGCTAGGATATTTGTTAGTAAGTTTTTAATTGGCATAAAATCGGATTAGATTAGCATAAACCCTATTCACCCCCCTCTAGGATTCTTTCCTAAGGCATTGGGGTCTAACAGTTCTTAGATGAAGATATGATTAGATTTCCATCAAATTCTGATAGGTTTAGATATCCTCATACCATGCTTGGATGCTACACATGTCTATTTTTTAAGAAGATAAGGCTTGAATAACAAACCATCAATTTCTCTTTATATGTAAAGGAGAGATATTTCTTTATTTTATTATACGTTTGTAATCATGATAATTAGAATAATACCATATTGATTTTTAGTCTAAATTGAATGGTTATTTAAGATGTTAATTAGTTATTATTACTATTATTATATCATATAGGGGTCTCCCCTAAAAACCACCTTAAAATAGAGTAATTATATGGAATTCACATTTCAAATTTAATTTGTACATAAACAACCTTTAAAAATGTTTTTTGTTGCAATCAACTACCTCTTAGTCAAATTTTTACTAAAAAACCAAAAATAAGTTTACAAATTCAAGTTCAATGTATGTGAGAAATGAGCCAATGAGCCTTAAATGTGAGTTTCCAAGGGTAATTTTGGGTATTTAGTGAAAATTTTGACTAGTAGGTGGCTGGTTGTAACAGAAACCCACTTTTAAAGCTGGTTCATGTATAAATTGAAATTAAAAGGCGGTTTCCATACAATTACCCTATTTTTATGGTGGTTTCTAGAAAGAAAAAAAACCTATTATATATTATGCATCCTCCATGAGAGATATTTAATAAAAAGATATCATGAAACATACCGAAAAATTATTAAAATTCTTTATTTCTTGGGCACGTTCCTCTGATAAGGCTCCACGTATTCCTCTTTATTTTTAAATTTAAATCCCTTAAAACACGTTATACCGCAAACTAGGGAAATCTTGATGGCTTGTTTACCTAATTTTCTAAGTTCATGGGTGTTCAGTGAAATTAACCTTATTTTATTCACGTTGAATATTATGATTTTTAGAAAAATGATGGATGTCTAGATAGGATCCAGTATGCTCATTATGATGAGTTAATTTATTATGCATTCCCATGAAGCTATTAAATTCCCACCGTTAGGTGGTTTTGAAAATATTTTTTTAATTTACTTTTTTATAAAAATAAAATATTTTGATGTTTTAAAATAATTTTTATTTATGTTCATGTGAATTGCAATTTAGGCATGAGCAAATAGGTGAGTTGTCTTTCTTAAAAGAGTTGCATAAAATAAATGATACTGGAGGAGACTGAATGTAAGATATTATTTATTAATAAGTAATCTCATATTATGGAAGAAGTTTTATGAACAGTTGGTCGGATAGGGATTTGATTATTAAATTAAAATTATTAATTTGATTAATAATTAGTTCTCGATATGGGACCCAATTTGTCTCACTAATGTCATGAGAAGAGGTATACATGCAATGCAATTCTATTTCTATCCTTAATTGTTATGGATAAAGTTTTTTAACAAATTCTATTTCTATCTTTAATTGTTATAGAGAAAGTTTTTGAACAAATCTATTACTATCTTTAATTGTTATGGATAGAGTTTTGAACAATTATGAATTGTTTAAAATTAAAATATCTAAGACTAATCTAATCCTATAAATAGAGTTCATATGTAATCTTATGATGAGACAGAAAATCTTATAAAGATAATATGAAGAAATAAAAATTTGAGAACCTATCTCTCAGTATTGCTCCTCTTCGATGATGGGTAGATTTCAATTGGGGGTTTTTCTCTTGAGGAAGCTTTTTTAGATTGATCTCGGATCAAATTATTGTAGAAATTCGGAAAGCGTTTCAGGTATAATTCTAAATTTTAATTAATTTTGATTAATAGTCATGATATGTTTTTTCCGCTGCGTTGTATGTCACGAATCCAACAATTCCCCAGGGTAAAATATCTTGATGATGGAAGCCTTCAACAGTCGTAGATCACGGGTACAATACCTCCAAACGCCAACCCATGAATCCTTCTGATGCTATTTACTGATCGGTTTTCCCTGACATCCTCTGGTAGTCACCATTCTGATAAACCCGTTCAGAAGCTATTAAAAAATTATCAAAATGCTCATCAGCTAAATCAATCATGGCCTCCCATAAGCGAAAAATAGATACATTTAGTTCAGCTTCCAATACAAACAAGAGCTGATTGCCTAAGCTAGCACATAAATGCCTGTAAAATAACAACACTGAAAAGCTAATACAAATTGATGCTACCCTACCAAGATTGAATATTGCTCAGTGAGACCTCAGTTCTCGTAACAGCGGACCAAATTGCTGAGCTCCAAAGAACAAGGCGTCAGCTAGTACGATAGCTCCAATCTGCGTTACAAACATAGGAAATAACATTCTTGTACAAGAGTTATCCAAGATTTTAGCTCAATAGAACAGGCTAGGATATTTTCTGATTACCAATCGACCAGTGAACACTAATCTATATCCCCATCCCTCTTTGGCAGCGAAAGCGCGTTGTTGATCAGTCCAACTGCCAAAAAAAAAGCTCAAGAAAGTACGTACCTAAAGAACAATATAACTACTCATGCATGAGACTTTACCCAAAGAATTCAGAAACTCCTCCAATTCCTGCAAGCTTGAAGGGTTGAGCACCTTCACGTTGAAAATCCTGCTTCAAGGATCATAATAGTTTATAATTCTCGCTCACTGACAAAAGATGCTAATTCATTTGAGTAAGCAAATGCATTTTCAGTGTTTGATACCTCTTCTTCAGCAGCTTCTAGACCACCTTGTACCCAGAACAGGTTTCTGTAGCCGGCATTGTGGAGTTGCTCACAAGCAGCAAGAGATCTGTAAAAGGTGAAATTAGTTGGCAAATATCAGTTTAATGATGCACATATAACAGCTAAGTACAGAAATCAATTACAAAGAGGTCTCAGATGTAAGCACCAATACCCATTTGCATAGAGAGCGGTGAATCGTAAGTTAGATTACATCATGCTGTTAACGTTAGATTCTAATCTATTCCACATTAACAAAATCTTGGTATTAACATTTCTTAGTTTTCCCTCCTTCAAACAGTAATATTGATTTTGGAGCAGTATGACTACAAGGCATGTTTCCTGTTGGAAATAGCCTTCTATTTCAGGTAGTCCTAGTTGGACTTGGATTAAGAATTGAATTTGATTGGAAAGAATCAATTGCAATTGAATTGAATTCTAATTGGAAGAGAAATAGAATTCAAAGAAAGATTCCTACATCAATTCAAGATAGGGGAACAACTCTTTAAATACCCCTTGAGAGGTTCATCATTGTAAATCAAGCCATTGGAAAGCCAAGGAAAGTAGTGGGAGAATCTAGGGTACGTGAGAGATCTTTTTGGTGAGATTGAGAAAGGGTGTCTTGTGGATTCATTCAAGAACATAAAAAAGATTGTATCTTGTAAAATCTCTAGTAAAAAAAGACTCAAATTCCTTTTCATAGTCGTAGGCGATTGCCGAACCACGTAAACTCGTGTCTTTGATCTCATGTTCTATTTTCCGCCGTAGATTGCTATTCTTAGGTTTCTCAGAGTTTCCACATCGCCAGGTGAGTGATTGGGTATACGAATGAGGAGATTTAATCAGGTTTCGATGACGCTTCCGCAGGCTAGACTTCTGCATTGAATGCCAGTTGGTGCGCAGCAATTGGTGTCAGGTTGTGGTGCGTGCACCAACATTTCCCATTGAAGACATGGCTTGGCTTCCTTTTACTTGCTTGTCAGTACATCTGGAAACTTAAGCGTGATGCAAACTTTAGTGACAATTTTTTTTTCAGTTAACAGAGTCATATATATTACTTAACATTTCTAAATCCCTCGCATAACAACGCAAGATAATACTTCTATGGAATATAGTCTTATTTTTCAAAAGCTCCAGGATAAAAGCTAAAAAATATACTTCCTTGGCTAACATCACAGATTCAGATTCGCTTCGTGAAGAAGAATAGATTTTAGATTCGTTTTGGTGTAAGTGGAACAGAGGTCCGAATTCCAGCTTATGGGGTTGGATGGAGTTCCAATCTCTGTTAAAGAGGGAACCACCTTATATACCTCCGTGTCTGTGTTGGTGAAACTCCTCTACTCTCTCTATTTTACACATTATTATGCACTAATCAGTTACTGGAGTTCTTACAATGCTTTATTAGGAACATCCCACGTTTATTATGTTGAAGAGTCAAGTGTTCTTCTGATCTCTATCTTATCACTTTCTGAGAGTTGTAACATATTAAGTCTTAACTCGTTAGTTTTTCTTCTTAATACTTCCTGAGAGTCGTAACATATTTGTTAGAATGTTGTTCGTACAATATCTCTTGTTTGAATAATAACAAAATTTCATTTACTACTGATATGTTTTGTGAAATGATGTATCAGGTCCAAGCAAGATGTGGTTCGAAACGATGTAAAAATCAATAAGAACATTAATTTCAGCCTTCGCTGGTCAAGAGGCATCCATCATTGGTTAGCTTCTCATCGATGGTACAGGAGCGAATAAGAGAAAAACAAAAACAGAAATTGGCACCATCGATGGTCTACAAAGATCGATGGTAACAGGATACAACCAAAAAATCCAAAAACCAGAATCAGCACCATCAATACGGTTGAAGTATCAATGATCACCAAGAGGTCATCGATGGTCGTGATCCATCATCGATGGTTATGACTAAATTTGGTAGTTTTCAAGATTTAATCATAGCTGTTCGTAGGGGTGCTAAACCGTATCCGTGTCCGAAAAAATATCTGTAACCGTACCGTTAGGATATGAATATGGTTATTCAAATGTATAACCAATATGATATGGTTACGAATATGGTTTTGTAGTGAAATATCTGTATCCGTATCCATATTCGAAATATCCGAATACATATTAGTCATACTCTTATGATAGTTTCGATTCTTAGATTATGGATTTGTGATTAATTTTGATGATCAAGATGTCTAATCTTAACTTTTCAGTTATAATTGACATATTAACGAACTCTTTTGTGTCACATGAACTATGTTTTTCTCAATACTATCTAGTTTTGTCATATCTGTTTTGTATCCGCATGCATATCCGCTTATATATCCACATGTATATCCGTAACCGTATCCGATTTTAGTGGATATGGTTATAAAATTTTCTTACCGAGGTATATCCGTATCCGAGATGGATAAGCGGATATGGATATGGTAAGTATCATATCCGAGCCGTATCCGGACCGAATGCAACCCTAGCTGTTCGTCGACCTATTTGATCTCCCGTTTGCACTTAGATTTGGGTATCTATTTCCTGTCCTATCAAAGGTCTATTTAAGGGGAGTTGGAGATCATAACTAACAACGAAGTTCAATGAGGCAAATACACAACAGGAGAGATCTTTATTCTAGGGTTTGAGAGAAAGCTATTCAAATCCCCTAAGCCTCGTTAAGCTTCTTCTCGGCACACTTTTCATCGGAGTTTGATTCAGTAAAAATGAGTGCCCTACGCTTACATCGCTATACCACTTCTTCACTGATCTTCATCTTCATCGTGAATAATAGTTTGCTAAAGGGCTGTAAGATTATTTTATTTGTGCTTAATTATTTTTGGAGTTGTATTTCAAACTTATAAGATTGACGGCGTACTCAAGCCAGAGAAATTGAGGGTTGCACTAGGTAGAGCTAAGTTTGACGGCGTACTCAAGCCGGGGTAATGGAGGTTCGGGCTAGCTAGGGCTAGGTTTCTTTCGGTCATTGTGAAGAGTTAGGTTAAGCGACTGGTTTTGGCTATATTTCAGGGTACGGTCTTTAAAGCCTACTGAATCGGTTTATGATTCAGGTGAACTCTGGTCATAGTGAAGAAGACCATTCATGAGAATGAAGAGTGGGCATAGGATTTCTATCCGAGCCACTATAAAAATCTCACGTGTTTCTTGCTTGTTCGCCTTTTGTTTTTCGTTTATTATATTTTTGCTGCATTTTCTGTGTTTAGTGGTAAAATTGTAGCAATTCTATTCAATCCCCCCACCTCTAGGCTTGCATCCTAGTTCCAACAATATTTAGTACTAACTTAGATTTTCTTCTTAATTGGATTAGTTTCTTTAAATTTACTAGCAACCCTATTCAAAGCCACCCCCACCCCAAGGTTTTCCAATTTTGGGAATTTATATGAAAGTTATGTGGTTAAGGATGCAGATAACCATCAACAATGTGTCATCATTGCTCTTGAATTGACAATTTATGAACTATCAGAACAAGCAAGTAAACTTGATTAGGTACGAAAAAGTCATAATGAGTACGATCATTAGGACAATGCTTCATGTGTGTCTTGCCGTAATGGGCAAAACGCCCTAGTTTGTCACAGTTAAAATATTTTAGTAAATTTCTTTTCTTGGATTACTCATCTTCTTCCCTTCTTGACTTGTGTTCATAGGAAATCCACTTATGCTTGAAACCCCTTTCCCTGAACTACTCTCATCTCTAAATGGAAAGAGCAACAGCCTCTGGCTTTCAGTCTCAAGCCTATCTACTCCAAACTACGTCACACAAACATATACTGCAAAGTCAGGATACTGTAAGAATGTGTTAATTGTCTCATCTCAGCTCTTTAGCAATGACCTCAACATGCATGACCTACACCTGTTGTGCATCTTATACAGGATTTCTTATCATGTTGAGGTCTTGGATCATGCCAGCCACTTCATGTAAAATTCATCTTGTAATCATAGCTAGTACATTGCCTACACAAGCAGATATCCGTGCATTAGATCATCATGCATTCCACTCAAAATGATAGACCAATCTCAAAATGCTAGACCAGTCTCAAAATGCTAGACTGAGCTTTTACAACTCATACTTATTATGTGTCCTTAGATATAGAGTTGCATCACACTGTGAGTAGTTGGAGACATTTCCAACATAAACATGCACCGGTTAGGAAAAGTAATATTGTTATGGTTAATGGGGCAAAGAGCTCCAGAGGTAGACCTAAGAGAACTTGGTTAGAAGCAATTAAGAAGGATATGATAATGATATAATAATGGTTAACTTAATGGAGGAGATGATCAAGAATTAAATGGAATAGAAGAATAGGATCCATGTAGGTGATCGCAAACATGTGGGATAAAGGTTTTGTTGTTGTTGTTATATTTTGACGACAATCTATTTGTACGAGAAACTTTATTCATAAACCAGCTCCAAAGACTTTGGAATCGCGAACTTCGCACTCTCCTCAGTACCACTCAGCAAATTGTTTGTAGCACCCACAGGACCATTATAAACCTTGAAAAATACTGTTAAATTAAGTATTGGGTATTGGGTTAATGGGCTGTTACCCGTTAACCTTAACCCTATTTATATGGCTATATATATCTCTCTTGTTATCTCAATAAACAACAATTAGGGTTTTCTCTATTTTCTACATAGTATCAGAGTAGTTTCGATTCTTAGATTATGGATTTGTGATTAATTTTGATGATCAATATGTCTAATCTTAACTTTTCAGTTGTAATGAACATATTAACGAACTCTTTTGTATCACATGAACTATGTTTTTTCTCAATACTATCTAGTTTTCTCATATCCGTTTTGTATCCGCATGCATATCCGCTTATTTATTCGCATGTATATCCGTAACAGTATCCGATTTTAATGGATATGGATATAAATTTTTCTTACCGAGGTATATTTGTATCCGTATCCGTATTCGTATACGAGATGGATAAGCGGATATGGATATGGTAAGCATCATATCCGAGCCGTATCTGGACTAAATGCACCCCTAATTTCTAACATAAGGACATGCTTTTGGATTGAGGGTATTTTGGGAGAATATTGGGCCAAATTTTAGCTTC